GACAGAGTAAACAGGAGTTTGTTTAGTGTTTTTCTCATGACATACCAACCTAATTTGGTCTTCTTTGCCAAAGGTTCAAAGGGTAAACCTTGATGCAATATTTCTTCAGCATGAAGGTGGCTATACTGTACACCTAAAATGATGTCTATTTCTCCAGATGTATGATTAAATTCAATGTCTCTTAAATGATCAAAGGATTTCAACCATTCTTTATCAATTGGAGGCACTTTGTTGATAGTTGAATCAATTTCATGTGCTTCTACTTTAAATTCTTCTCCACCATCCAATGATGACACATAGAAAGTTAATCGTCTGCTTAATTTCTGCTCTATATATTTACCACCTACTACTGCTAAATCTAATTTCTCTGGACGACCTTGAAGACCTAGATCTTTAGCAAATCGTGTCCGTATAAGTGTTGCATCAGCTCCACTGTCTATGAAAATATTACCATTACGATATCGACCATTGGGTGAACGTATTTTAACTTGAAGGACAGGTAACATACCATTTCTATCTAGAGTTGACATTGTGCTTGATACAGGGTTGGATCTGTATTAGCAATTTATTATGCAGACGTGTACAGTTATTAATATTACATTGTCTCTTATTACGACAATCTCTGGTAATGTGACCTCTATTCAAACATGAAAAACAAAGTCTGAGTTTGACAACCTTTTTTGTCTTCTCATCATGTGATAAATTCTTGAATGTAGGACACTCAAATACTCTGTGATTTAATTCACACACTGGACATTTATAATCAAAAGTTCTCTGAGTAGAGTTGACTGATCTCCCAAAGTTAGATGAACGTGAAGGATAGGGTTTACTATTACTGTCACTTTTCACTGGTTTGATGTTTTCACCAAAATCAGGATCAAAAATACTTCTAACCTTTTTTTTTAACAAAGTCACTAATATGACGAATTGTAGGTGTGATTCCTTTCTCTCTGATGTCAGGGAGTCTATTGTTCCATTAAGTAATCCATGGATCCGGAAAACGTCTCACAATAGAACGTAAAGTTTCACTAGCATTAACATCAGCCTCATAACATATCATTTTTAATGCAGCTATACAACTAATTATGTCCATCGAAAAATCCCTTAATTTATTTCTCTCAGAAATCGCCAATTTTGAATACTTTGTCAGTTTGTTTATAAATGTTCTAGCTATAACACTCTTTTGACCAAATTCTTCTTTAAGAGTTTTAAGTGCAGTTGGATACATAATGCCTTGATTTCCCATACCTGATATAACACGACTTGCTTCTCCTTCTAGACTCATAGTTAGTTGAATCATTCTCATTTCATCTTTTAAATGAGGTTTATTATGAATGTGAATTTTGAACTTTTCCATAAACTCAATATACATAGATGGATCACCGTTGAATTTCGATATTTGAATAGAAGGAATGTCACGACTAGCTTCTAATTTTAATAAAGCCTCAGCAATAGATAGGTCTCTTGTTTCACTAACCAGATCAGTTTCAGTGTATTCTTTCAGCTCATCGATCCATGAGTCAAATGGTTTATTTGAAGGTGAGGATGAAGTAGCATTTCTAGATGTTTCTCTGGATACTGTAGAATGGGTAATGGGGTTTAACTCAGGTTGTACATGTATCTCTGATGTAGTTGACAAATTACTAGGGGGACTCTCAGCCATAGATGGACTAACAGGAACATGTGATGGTGTAGGATTCAACAAATTGTCATTCTCATTTGCTTCTAGCAAATCTTGGTTTCTTGGCACAACAACAGGAGATGGGGAACGAATGCTCTGATTGTGTCTATTTAGTGAAGTAATGTAATCTTCAATCTCTTCCTCCACATCAAATATTGTGGAAAGTAAATTATCATCCCATTTATCAAGTTTAATTGTCTCAGAAGAAAGAACTAAATTGTAAAGACTATTATTTAAGGTTCTCACAGTCTCACAATCCTGTTTAATTTCACTCAGTTCTCTTTTGATTCTTCTAATGTTGGTATCATTATTTCTCAAAGATTCTCTCACACGGTTTATAGCTCATGTTATTCGACCTTTTAGAATCTTTCTTTTGTTTTTGATATCTACCAACTCTGATGTTTTATCCACTTCAATAGATGGACCAGCATGGACATCTGCCACAGTCTCCTCCGAACCAGACATATTGATTCTCTCTTCTTACTCAGGAAATAACTGGTCAACAGGAATCATAAACAATAAATTCTCTCAGAATTCCCTTCAGAAAATTGTATGTTCCAGACTATCCTTCCGGGGCGAAGAAGGTTCTAGATAAGACAAACTTCCAGTAATGTCTTTTATTCCAAGCAGAATTATGTTACAGAAATAATAAAATTTTATTCTGAAAAGAGAAAAGTTATACTGATAAGAATCAATATCAACTAAGGGAACGTAACCTCGTTTAGCAAGACTACAGACTACACTTAACTGATCAATGCACACAAGTTAACTCTATAAGTTCCATTCTCTTATTACCTACCTAACATATTGAATACAATACAGATATGAAACTGACAATATATTGAGACTTATGAAAATACGTTGTATAACTAGGAAATATACAATAAATCTTAGCGGACAGGAAAATTGTGTCTATGAAATGCAAACTATGATCTAGACAATTCTGACACTTTAAACAGGAAATACTCATAGAAAGCGCATTGACACATGTACAATAGGCTATAATAATATGCTTAATACATTTATAAACAAAATATAATAGCTACCTGAAGGGTTTTGTCTCTAGACCCTAAATTATTATCGATATGTCTGCGAAAGTTGAAGGCGACTCTTCTGAACGAAAGTGGCGATTTAACACGAGGAGCAACAAAAAGTCACATGGACCAATGAAAATTATATTACCTAATATAGACATACAATGACGTAAATATATTAAAGCTGAATTCTATGAAAACTAAAACAAAGTAAATAGCGACTGACTATTCAGAACAGGGGGGCAGGAGGGAAAGGGACTCCGACTGCTATACCTTTTGGTTGACAGCGTTATGCCACCCCTCCACATCATTGTTGATTAAAATAAAAAATAGTGGGCCGAATCGGTATAGGTCCGACACAGTAACGATCCGAGTTGGTAGTGTAATGAGTGGGCCGAAACGGTAACGGTCCGACCGGTCCTGATTCCATTAGACGCACCCATATTTGAATAAGTAGTTATTTGCATGTATATTTAACATAGGCATATCAGCTGTGTCTACTGTCTGTACATGGTCTTCTGGCTAAAATGAGATGCGGTTAAGAGTAGCCTGCCTATTATTTAAAAAAGTTTTGTCATCTTGGGCAAGAACTGGTCGATACTACCGCTCGACTCGAATGGCGCCACCAGCACCGACACGGAACATCTATCCTAAACCTCTGCACGTATCGATTGTTCAGTCATATCACAGTGATCCGTCCGGCATTATAAAGCATACGGACAAAATGACAGACTCGTTCATAAATTTTCAGGATTTTGATGCATATGGTTTTGACTTGGATCACACCATATTGAAATATAAATTAGTCAACGCTTTCAATGTAAGTAATATATTGAAGACTCTCGAATTTGAGTAGAAACGTGCGCTTGGCTTGACTAAACACCCGAATGAAGGACAATGTATACAAAATTATATCAAATTTCTGCCCAGCAAAAAGATAAATATTTATATTACAGGTATTATATAAAGTCATGGACTGCTTTTCCTACTTACTTTCTGGCTAGTCTACTGGTACTAAATTAAAACTTTCAAATCACAATAATGTAATTATTACCAAAACTGAAAACGTTCCAAGAAAGTAGCTATCTGAAACCATTCTACACCAAAATTTTTAGCAAATGTTTAAAAATTTGCCAAAAATAAAATTTGGTGTCACTAATTTTAAATAAAAATTTTCAATTGAAATTGAAACCTGTTCAGCTAGATGTATTAGTAAGAGTAGCCACAGCAAAATACAAATTTAAACGCAAAGACATTCTTAGACTATCAGTACTTTGAAAAATATCGAAAAAATTAAAAAAATGTTCAACTTACATAGACAAGAGATACTTGGCTTTTTGTTTCTTTGTTTTGGAAGTTAGTGGAGATGTGCAGTAATAGTTTAAGAAAATGAATCTAGAAAATAATAAGCCTAATTTTGAACCCAGTGATACATACAGAGATGTAGATAATAATAGTTCTGTCAAAATTTTCTACAAGAAGTGTTTTGTTATTTCAGCTGTCCTATGATTGTGTTACAGATTATTTGGTTGAAAAAGGCTATGATAAAAGAATACAACATGATCTTGAAAAATATAAAGATTTCATGTAGGTTTTCGCATTTTACTGTAATGAAATACAGGTTTGAATATTCATTATAAAATTGGTATATTTCACAATAAAATTAACTCATTCAATCTTTAAATGCATGGAAAGATAATCTGTTTCAAATATTAAATAAATGATATCTAAATTTGATAGTATATATATCACGACAATTATCATATAAATGTATCATGATATTGTAATATTTGAGCACTAACTAGCATTCAATGATTCTGTTTGTATTTTAGATCCAAGGGCTTGGTATTAGATATTGGTAAGGGTAATATAATAAAACTAGGATCTAAAGGAGAGGTGATACAGTAAGTATTTAAGTATAAAAGTCAAGGGTAATAACTTGAATTTGACCAAGTGGATCACTTTTCAAAATAAAAATCTATTGTGTCAAAAAATATTGAGCTCAAATGTTAAAAAGAAAAATGAATAAGATGAAATGAGTGAAATAAGTGAATCTGATAAATCATATAAATATATATATATATAGAAAATATCTTTTTAATATTTTCATATTGGTTGTATTATCCTATACTAATATAGAAGTTCCTACATAAATCAAGATCCATATTCAATAAGGTGATGTTCTCTTTCAGGGGTAAACATGGCACTAAATCTTTGAGCCATGATGAATTGATTCAGATTTATGGAGAAGATTTGAAGTTTGAACATTCTGATGTTATTTTTAAAACCATGCAGAATAGTGTCAGTAAGTATCAGTCAATGAATACTATCAACTGTATAGTTGTCACATTGGCAAATCCAGTGTTATCAAGTAAAATTCCAATATCAGTCTCCCCATGCTTGTATCTGAACGTTTTTAAACATAATTAGTCTTTAGTGAATTATGAATAAATATTGTGTAATTGGATGTGTTCATCAGATTGAATGTAATCTGAAATATGTGATATAAGCTTATAAGTGATATATTATGCTTTCTGAAATAATGTTATGCATGATATGTATCTGAAATAATGTAATACAATATAAAACATGTAATATGTCACATGATCCCAGATATTTGAAATATAATATGCTCTGAAATAATAGGATATGATATGTTCTGAAATATCTGATATGTGATCTGAAATAGTTGATACATGATATGATCTGATAATATGTGATATATCATATTGGATATATGATATGATCTGTAATATGTGATACCGGTAGATGATATGATCTGAAATTATGTTATATGTGATTGATATGATCTGAAATATTTGATACATGATATGAATATGTTTCATAAATAAGAATGTGATTTTGTTATTCCAGAAGATTACAGATATTTTGAGAATTATTTTGATACCCCAGGTTTAGTTGCTATGGCCAGATTAATAGATATAATTGATGAAAAGGTACATTTTATCATTTTACTTTTCTTGAATCAAAAATTTTAGGTGCAGAAACTCTTTTGATTTTTGTAAGTAGTTTATTCCCCTGATTGACTCTTCATCAAGCATAACAACAACTCTTTCTCAGCAGCGTTTGATTTGTTAGTTGTTAATTTCAGGGGGGGTCAGAAAACAAGAAAATGACTTATGAAGAAGTTTGGATTGATGTTATGAAAGCTTTACAGAATTGTTACACCTTTCAAGGATTTAAATGTATGTTTGATATTTAACCCTTTTAACATGCTGATTAGATGAACCTGTGGATGATAAACATATAATCATTAAATGAACTATCTGGATATTAAGATTAGTGGTTAAAGAGTTAACATGTCAATTGAAACGCTGTGTAATTGAGTCTTAAGATATAATAAGACAAAAATAATGTTAACAATGACACTAGATATGAGTCAATACAAAAAATTAAAAATTTATTTACATTATGAACTTTTTTTTGTTGTTAAAGTTTCTCTTTTAAATTTTCTGCAATAACTTATTAACTTACCTCTGTTTCTATAAGTGGATACAGGTGGATTTTTTCCAGCCTTAAAAAAAGAGCCACACAAATATCTCGAAAAATGTAGTGCTGATGTTAAAAAATGGTTGAAGAGTTTAAAAGAAGGAAAGAAATGTGTATTTTTAGTGACCAGCTCTTATGTAGATTTTGCATCCTTCACATCAGAATATATATTAGGGTATGTTCGTTTAAAAACAATTGTTGTTCAGAAACCTGAATGATTTAGTTTTTCAGATGGATTTCCTTGTGAATACATCTTATTTTGGTGGTCTAATATGATAAAGAATGCAAATCTTGTTGAAAGCAACACTAATAAAACTTTACTAGGCCTAATGTCGCGGAATCTGCAGGTCACAAAAGAACTTAATTATTTGATGAGATAGGCGAATGGGTTTTTTCTAATTTTCTCGATCAATATCAACTATAATAGGCCTATTTACCGGTTTGTGTTTGTTGACAACTTCACTGCCACTGTACTCTCTCTGACTCTGTTGACTGTTGTTCTGGCTCGCTTCCTAATTAGATCTAATGAAATCTACCAGTAACATCAGTAATACAAATATTGAAGTAGGGTGCATTTAGGACATGAAAGTTTGCTTGGATATGTCAGCATTTGATATCCTCCATACTCTTTAATTGTAAGAAATTCACAAAAATCCCTTCGCCGTCACTTTGTTTTGATGTTGGACAAGATGGCGGCATGACGACAGACTGACCTTGTGTTTTACAGGCGACGATTTGATTGGTTGAATTCATTATAACGTCATGACTTGATTGACTGGTCTATCACTTAAATTAACTAAAATCAAATTTTACATTAAAACTAATATTGAAGAATATCACTTAATTTAAGTTCAAATTGAATTTTAACAGTGATTTTAAGTTAAGTTTTTGAGAATAAGGTCCCTGATGATGGGTTGCACATTGTTGCAATATGTTGTTATTTCCATTTGCTGAAAGTCCAGCTATGTTATCTGCTAACACTATATGTCTTTACAGCTATTTTCTGTATTTTTGTGAATTTAATTTCTTTATCTGTAATGTTATTTGTGTTTATATTTCAGCAAGGATTGGAGGGAATATTTTGATATATGTGTATTTTATGCCAGAAAACCAAGTTTTTTCTCTGACAAGAATCCATTTTTAAGAATAGGTAAACAAATTTGTACACTTTCGGAAGTAAGTCCATCATATACATTTAAAGAACAAAACAAGTTTGTTATTGTTATTAGTATTTCATAAAAACAGTATGGAAATCGAATTACTATCAATAATACACAAATGTGTAAAATAACATGTACAATAACAGTAAATTAAGGATCACCATGAATCAAAGTTAGTTTAGTAAAAAGATTCCTAAATAAATAATTTTTGATATTTGTAGAAGGTGACAGTGAAAAAGAACCTGTAACAGAATTAAAAGTTGGTGGTTTCTATAGTCAAGGAAACTTTGGCGAATTAGATAAATTTATTTCGGATTATACTGGTAAAAAAGATCCAAAAGTAAGTTGATTGGTTTCTTGAACAAAAATAAAAGTCAAAAGCTGTCATTAGCAGAATAGTTAATTGTAAGTCACCTGAAATAATAATAGATTAGTCAATACATAGGTAATTTTCAAAAACAAACATGTTAATTAATAGAAATTTTCTTGTGATAGTAATGATACAATGATTCTATTTTTTCTTGTAGGTTGTATATTTTGGTGATAATATATGTGCTGATTGTTATCCATCTAAAACCTATGCTGATTGGTCTGCTGTATTGATATTAGAAGAAATGGATGCTGAAGGGTATTTATGTTCTGATGGTACTGTTCCTGGTCATAAACATGATGGTGAATCAAATAATAAAAAAGCTAAATTTGAGGTTAACAGTTTATTGTTTAGTAAATAAAACATTTAAAGCACCTTTATTAATAGAACACAAGCTTATTTAATGTCATCATAAGATAAAAAAGACATACGCCATAAATATAAACATAGTTACTTGCTTGGTTTAGAAAGAAAGTATTGTATATTTGTGCAAATTAAAGCTATTTATATATGTATCTGTATTTTTAAATTGATCGTATGTTACAATTTCAGCACAGTTCACTTGTTACCTCAGAAGAAATAGACTATTTAGTTACTAATGAATGGGGCCCATTTTTATGTTATGGTGACCAAAAGGGTACAAAAGTAATGAATACATTTTGGGGCTCAGTCATTAGTAAATATTCCTGTATAACTGTTCCCAGCTTGGAATATCTATCAGGTATAGTTAAACATTTTTTGATCCCCCATGAATTTTGTTTTTCTAGTTAATTCTGACAGACTATAATACTCTTTTGTTTTTTATCAGAAATTGCATTCCTGAAGCATTCATATTTTGAATGTTCTTGATAGTCATATTGTTCATTATTTGAGCTTCTGTCAGAACTAATCCCTTTACAGTATGCAACTAGAGTAGTCATGTCCCACAAGAACTTATTACATTGCCTCGTGCTCTAATCTTTTTTTTATGAGTGCAAATTGATATCATGGCCTATTACATTTGATATATTTATAGGTGTTCCACTGGATCACAAGTTTAAAAAGTTCTCTGAAGAAGACGGCAATATAGAGGGATTTCATCCTGGTATACCAAGCTCATTGTTGCCTTGAAGATTTCCTACATTATTTTATCCCCCCTTATATGATTAATTTAATTTTATAAATATTATTCTTGATCTTATAGCTTGATATCAAATGTCAGTATTTTTTGGTATAATTCTACTCCAATTGCCCTACGAAAAAACCCGCTATGAGAACTTAATCAGTGGAAGAAATATCTGTTGTCTGTATGAGGCATTATTAACATTTTAATTACCTTTTATTGCATAATATAGTATGACAGAATACTAAGTGATGATATGTCAAGGAAGATAATACTTACATGTTTTGTTAATTGTTGAAGAATTAAGTTAGTATACTATTTTAACTTTTGGATCCGGATCTGGACGTTATTTTGTTTTAGATGCCTTTTTCCTTTGAAATTAATTATGATACTGCTGCATTTATAATTTGTGTTCATTATTGTTTTGTTTTTGATCTTCTTGATATATAAAGAAAGATATGTTGTATGTAGAATCATCAACTATGCTCTAAGACTTGCATCCTCAGGCATTTTTTGAAACTATACAAGCTTATTTTAATTTTTAGGTTTTATAAGATATGATCATTAATATAAATAACAATTGATGAAAATAAAAATTAACAAAAGTCAGTCGTTTATGTTCATTAAAACCACCCCAAAATATTCGCCTGTAATATGGATGTTTATCATATAACATTTACAGTTCTAAGACCAGTCAAGTCCAGTATGATGTCGAGATATTGCCAAACAGACTGTGAAACGCCCTTCCAAAATCATGTGAAAAAAAAAGAAAGCCGTAATAAAACCCATGTCGGATGCACTACCTTCAGCAACCATGGCAGACAATTTGGCTCCACAACCAAGGCGTATATTACCGTCACCCATGTCCGTACATCAGTCCGTCCACTATTGCTCGTAAACACTACAATTCTTGACAGATTTTGACGAAACTTATTGTGAGTGTTCGTAATCACCCAAGGATGAGCCCTATTGAAAATCAGAAGAATCGAAAAATATTTATTATAAGTTATTGCCCTTGTTCGTGGAAATGCATTCAATTTTTAGCTCCTAAACACTCTAAAAATGAAATGAAATGAATGAAGTTTTACGTCCTACTTTTCTGCACCATGTGAGCTAATGAAGACGGGCAACGCCATGCAGGGTGCGATGAGGGAAATTTTGCCAGGACAGCGGCATTGGCCTGCTCTTTTTCGATTTCCAACTGTCGAGGGATCTTTAACGTGCACAGCCTGTAGCACACGGGGCCTCGGTTTATTGTCCCATCCGAATGACTAGACGCTTTTTCCATGTCAGCCCCTCTTACCTGCATCACTGACAGGGGGAAACCGGGTTGAAAAATCCGAAGGTATTATCTCGACCTATGACGGGATTGAACCCTGGACCTCTAAAAGGCACAATTCTTGACAGATTTTGACGAAACTTGGCATGAGTGTTTGTTATCACCCAAGGTTCAATTTTAACACGTTTTCAAGAACAAGGGCAATAACTCATACTTCAATATTATTGAGTATCGCCCTAAAGAGTTAAAAAGAAGTGTATGGCTGAAGGTTGAATATTTCATACTTCATACTTCATACGTTATATTTTGGTTTCATAAGTTAGACTTCATACTGTCAAAATACGGTCCTATTTTAACCTAAGTAAGACAAAATGCTGTCGTATTTTAACCCATGTCAGACGTAAATTTACTGTCGTATCATTGAGCCTACCTATGTCAGACGTGATACTATCGTGTCATAACCCATGTCAGACGTATGACTGTCATATCATAACGTGTGTCAGACGTCATACTGTCGTATCATAACCCATGGCAGACGAAATACTGTCGTATTATAACCCATGTCAGGCGTATTACTGTCATACCATAATATGTCAGACGTTAAACTATCGTATTATAACCCATCTTAGACGTAATACTGTCGTATAAAAAACCCATGTCCAACGTAATATTGTCAGATTATAAACCATGTCACACGTAATACTGTAGTATTATAACCCATGTCAGGCGTAATACTGTCGTATTATAACCTATGTCAGACGTAATACTGTAATACTGTCAAACGTAATATTGTCAGATTATAAACCATGTCAGACGTAATACTGTAGCATTATAACCCATGTCAGACGGAATAATGTCGTATTTTAACCCATATAAGGCGTAATAGTCTCGTATTATGACCCATGTCAGACGCAATAGTGTCGTATTATAATCCTTGTCAGGCGTAATATTGTCGTATCAAAACCCACGACAGACGTAATACTGACGTATCAGAACATGCAGGCGTACTATTGTCATTTCATAACTCATATCAGATTATGATCTGATGAAACGTATTATATTACACAATATCGTCATTACTTATGTCGAAAGCAAAATTGTCAAACCGTAAGTCATTTCATGTCGAGTCGGAACTCACGAAATTATTTTGGAAAAAGGAAATAGAAGCTTGTGTATATGTTGAATATACTGAACTTATACCGCCAACTGTTGTATAATTATCGGATGTAAATGATTTTCAACCATAATTTCCATCAGAATATTTTCTCCGGTGGTCAGAGCGGTCAATTTGTAAGTCAAACTCAAACTCAAAACGACTACAATGTCATGTGTCTGTACGGTGATTCCGCAAAACAGTCAAATTAGGGAAGGTTTATATGGTATTGGGTAAGGAACAAAGGAGGAGGGGATAGTACTATACAGTAATGATTTCATAAAGGGGAATCTCCCGTTTTGTCCGTTACAGTCCGCAAACGCAAAAATATCGCTCGTATTTTCAACATGTTTAAAACAGTAGCCGATCACTTTTTCGGTAACCGACCCTCACAGGACTGAAACTGTCGCGCCAGATCGTCCACCGAAGATATAAGGTAGCACTCGATAGTGGTCACAGGGCTCTAACAATTTTCGTGAAAAAACTTGATCGGGTACTATCGGTACCAAAACAATCCTTGGAGAAACGGAACTATAAGAAAAGTTCGATTCGCCCCGCTGTCATTATCCATGACAGATTCATTCGGGTCAAAAGAAGGGGACTATTAAAGGCGATTCAAGGCGACAATCATAGAAATGTTTCATCTGGGACTAGATCAAAAAAAAAAAAAAAAAACAATTCTTGGTGAAATGGCATCATTTATATACCGATAAGTGAAATTATACGCTTAGCTAGTCTTTGTTATATTTTATGAGTGCTTGCATATGCCTTGTATCATCAAAAGAGGCGCGCAGTGCCCATAGGGATACCTACCACTTGCTGATAGATGTCGCCGCCAATTTCAATAAATAATGTTGTCAAATAGAAAATTCAACATCTTGGACAGGTGCGCCATTTTATTTTTGACAAATCATACTTTTAGTCTCAGAAACGGGACTTTCTTTGGCTAAGCCAATCAGTTATAGTGTTCGCTACAGACCTTTGAAATTTGAGCCTTCAAGTCCATGTGTGTCCAAAAGTTGGAAAGACATCTATAGAAATAGTAAAATAAATTCTTGGTTTGAGATATTTTTGAAGGAATAACTTGATTTGCGTATATATCGGGTACTTCTGAAGACTTTTTATATATATTCAACACTCAAATCAACCCCTCAAAATGGCGCATCTGTCCCTTAAAAAGCATCGTTATTATAATTATAATTAATAACAATATATTCCAATCTGACACTTCCTGTTTTAGAAAATACTATAATTAAGATAATTCCTTAAAATCCACATTTCATTTATTTTATTGCGGGAGTATATAGTATTGCAGTATTTCTGTTCACCCTCTTTAACTGCAGTCAAACATCAGACGTAATACTGTCGTATTATAACCTATGTTAGACGTAATACTATCGTATTATAATGTCAAACAATACTGTGGTATCATAACCCATGTCAGATTGATATTATTATCGTTTTACAACCCATGTCAGATTGATACTATTATGTATTATAATATAACCCATGTTAGACGTAATACTATCATATTATAACTATTGTCAGACAACACTGTGGTATCATAACCCATGTCAGATTGATATCATTATCGTTTTATAACCCATGTCAGATTGATACTATTATCGTTTTATAACCCATGTCAGAATGATACTATTACCTATTATAATATAACCCATGTCAGACTATCATATTATAACTAATGTCAGACAACACCGTGATATCATAATCCATGTCAGATTGATACTATTATCGTTTTATAACCCATGTCACATTGATACTATTATCGTTTTATAACCCATGTCAGATTGATACTATTACCTATTATAATATAACCCATGTTAGACTATCATATTATAACTAATGTCAGACAACACCGTGGTATCATAACCCATGTCAGATTGATACTATTATCGTTTTATAACCCATGTCAGATTGATACTATTACCTATTATAATATAACCCATGTTAGACTATCATATTATAACTAATGTCAGACAACACCGTGGTTTCATAACCCATGTCAGATTGATACTATTATCGTTTTATAACCCATGTCAGATTGATACTATTACCTATTATGATATAACCCATGTTAGAGGTAATACTATCATATTATATCCCATGTTAGACGTAATACAATCATATTATAACCCATGTTAGCCGTAATACTATCATATCATAACCCATGTTACATACATCTATTATATATTATTATAACTAATGTCAAAGTAATACCGTGGTATCATAAACCATGCAATACTGTCATACTGTCAATTTTGACCCGAGAGGTACAAGTTTTGTTTGCAATGAAAGCTTATCATTTCCCCCGTCTATTTCAGTAGAAAACAGAAATTCTAGATTTTTTCAAACTTTGGAGAAAATCGACTTTGAAGTTGCACCCTTGATTTCAAGAGGAAAATGGCTTATATTTTGGTTTGGGAAAAAAGTCTGAGACTAAAAGTGCTGTAACTGGCAGAGTTTTCAAGATAGGAAGCTGAAATTCGGAAAACAACAACTTCACTGGCAGATGGGTATGTGCCTGCTGTGCAAATTTCAACTTTGCATCTCTAATA